CTAAAAATATTAACTGGATCAAAAGTTATTTAAGTTGTCAGTGAGTGGTGGGCCACCCTGTATATGTATATTCTTTAGTAGAATGTTTTAATTTTTCAAGAAATTGTATTTTGTTATGATAATTACAAAATTAAATCATAATATTTAATAAAATCTAATCATTGTTATCTTAAATTATTACTAGTCTTCATAACCTTTCCCCATAGGATAAGGTACAAAATCCCTGGTGCTCCGGCGTTGCCTCGGCCCAGGGTGGACCAACTCATTGGGTTCTTGTAAAGTAAGGCTGATTTATATTAGTTTGGCTTACAAAGTGGTAAAAAGAAGAATGAGTGAGTTGAAAGAAAATGAGGGAGGTAAAGATGGTAAGAATGAAGTCGTATCTCGGGGTCGAACTATATTTATTTATTAAATAATAAATATCCCTACCTCATTTATTCCTATTCTTGTTTATTACGTGATTTTTTTAGAAGTAAGGCATGCAAATAAATATTCGCACTTACCTTTATTTCCTTTAGTAATTGACTGAGTTGGTTTTATGATGATTTCTTCCTTCAGTGTCAACAGTCGTTTATACCGTCTTGCGTTTATTTCGATTTATTAGTCTCTCTGTGTAAATTAGACTTAGAAAAAGGGGTTCTCTATAATGGGACCTGCGTTTATTATAATTTGTCACTTTTTTTTTTATTTTCTTTAAATTCCTTTTATATTATACTGTGTTTTTACTAATAATATTTTCGATGAATTCCCTACAGTCGATATCGATATTCTTAAAATTTACTCTGAACTAGTCAAAATATAATTATAAGAATATGTCTATATATTCAAAATATAGTTAACAAGACTGTGGTGGCCCAGCGTTTCTCAGCGTAAAGCCTTGGCTGGCGCGGACACAGTTACCTCGCTAATATATTTTAAATATTATTTATATATAACTTGTTCCTGTGTAAAATATTAATAAATCATCTAAGACAATGTTCACCACTTAGGATGACACATATAAAAAAAAAACTAAGTCACAGGGACAAAATAATTACTTATACTGACGCAGATTCCATGTAAGAGAATATTTAGAGGGTAGTCGTAGTAGTCGCAACTGCCGTCGCAGTCGCAGAAAATCGTCCCTTTTTATGAGAAAAAATGGCTTTTTATACGCAGGATCAAGTAAGCCAGCGATCTCTATTGAAATTCCTAAGATTTAGGGTTTAAGGGTTTAAGAATAAGTAGGAGTAAGACAGGTATATAGAGTACGAATTTAACAAAGAAAACACGAGGTAAATGAAATGAGATGAGTGGCAATAGGCCAGGACATGATAGGAGAGGTGGAAAGTTTTAAGTATTTAAGATCAGTTGTGCAAAAAAGCGGTGGTATTGACGTGGATGTAATACATAGTATTAAGTGTGGGTAGTTAAAGTGGAGATAAACGTCTGGTATGTTATGCGATAAAAGAATTCCAATGAGGCGGAAAGGTAAATTCTATATGACTGTAGTGAGACCAGATGCGATGTATTGTTCAGAATGTTAAGCTTAGATGGACAAGTGGAGTGACTAGAGAAGATAGCATAAGAAATCAAAATACACGAAGGAGTATAGGTGTTGCGTCAATCGTAGATAAGATGAGAGAAAATGGATTTAGATGGTTTGGTTATATTATCCGAAGAGAGGAATCGGAAACTGTAATAACAGTTATAGAAATTAATGTTAAAGGAAGAAGATTATTCATGAAGCTGGATTATTAATGATAATAAATCGAACGCTCACTTATGAATAATTTGTTTGACATTTTTAATTTTTGAGATTAATGTAACAAACATTAAATATAAACAAAAATGAATAATTTTTACACAATATTTGTTCTTTTTTTATGTATAATTAAAACTTAAATAAAAATATTTAAACACAATAATGACTATGAGCGCGTCGCTGATGATTCAGCGGTGGAACATACACTGATTAGACCTATACTACATTAGACACATTGTCGGCCAGATAAACAAACATAAAAATTAAGATACAATATTATATAATGACTCGCGCTAACAAAGATGTTTAGGAAGACCGAAAAATAGTTGGAGGGATGTAACTGAATGCGATTTTAGAACATAACATAAGTTTATGTTACGTTCTAAATCTTATCTTAACCTCAAAGTTAAGAAAAACTGTATGTAATACAGTTTTATACGCTGGAGGTACGAAGTTCGAACCTCACTCGTCGAATTCATTTTTTTCATTTTTTCTTAATTCTATTTTGGGATGAAAAAATTCAAAGTTCGATTGATTTTTATCTCATTTAAATTGAAAAACTTCAATAATTATCAAGGATCCCATTACTGTAGTCTCCCTTCGTAAAAATAAACAATAAAGAATAATTAGTAGACATTTTTATGCAACATACCACGATTATTTCTGTTTAATTAAAATATTTAAGTTATTATAGAAAAGTTTGGCTTATATCAAAATAATATTGTATATTTATCAAAATAGTTATATTTTTTATTAATCATTTAATAATTTGAGGACTTCAATTTATATTTAAATTTACGTCATACCAAAAATCTATACATATATATATCTATAATTACTTTTATAATAATTATATTATATTTAGCTGAAGTATCTATCATGCTATCAACCTTTAGGAAATTGTATTAAATAACACATTTTGAAAACAGATACTTTTGTAAAAAAATTATAGTCATTAAATCTTAATAAATAATAACATTATTCTAAATTGTAAACAACTTTGTAGTAAAACATTGTGGTGTTATATGAATAATATACAATAATTATTAATAGAATTTATTAGATAAAAGCAAAGTATTATTTAACATTTAAATTTAGCTAGCATTTAATTTATTTTGCATAACATGAAAGTTTACAAAACAATTATATTAACGTTTTGGACACAATGGAGAACTTAATAACTTTCATGTAGCTATAAACATACTAATAAGAGATAGAGTTGCTAATATATTAAGCGAAAATTAAAATTGGACTAAAAAATTATTTTAAAATAAAAATAAAATTAATCATTTAAGTTAATTTAATATTTTTAGAA